ATTGTTGTCTGCTGGTAAAATAAGAGGCAATGAAAAAAAAAGCTTGTATTATCACTGCCCACAATGTACCCATTTTATGAATAAACAGAAGAATTTAGCACCTGTCAATTATATTAGCTACTTAAATGTAATAACAATGAAAAGAAATATAGAACATTGCACCTATATCTTTAAATCAGTCACTTAATGTAAACGTTTTAGTAAGTGGTAGGACTTGCCAAACTAAGTTAACTGAGTCACCGATAACCAGACTAATTATATAAACACATAAAATACACTACAAGCAGTACGGAGAATAAATAATCATTGCCAATAAAAGATTACGAGTAACCGGAACAATGTATAACTCCATCTATATGAGTAGGGAAGAAACAGCTTTCTAGATTTTACTGTTAATAGTTTACACTAGTGGCTCTCAAACTTGATGTGTGCATCAGAATCACCTGGAGGGCATTAAAGCACAGACTACTGAGCCCCACTCAAGAGTTTCTGATTCAGTGTGTCCGGGACAGGACCTAAGAATCAGCATTTCTAACTAGTTTACCAGGTGATGCTGATGTTGGCTTGTAGGCTAAGGACCATATTTTGAGAACCACTGGTTTCTACATACTGTTTATGTAAAAAAACTATATACTATAATGTTCTTATGTACATGACACAAAATATATAGGGAAGAGGGCTGGTTTTAATTAACTCTCAAACATATAGATTAGTAAAACTGATCATTTTAATGTTTCTAAAATGATTTCCTGAAGTGTAATCATTTCCCCTTATAGTCAATTACATTTCAAAAGTCTAAATCCTGTCTAAGTCCTACTACAGTCATTTTAGAAAATATTCATATAACACTTACACCAAGTTGCTATCCAAAACAAAAAGGGACATAAATATTCTACATAGTTAAGATGTATTCATCAAGAAGGCATCACCACTATTCAGCATTATAGACTTCTTTGGAATGATTAAAGTGCATAATATCAACAGGGTATTAAGAATATTGCATAAATGTTTGCAGTCTTCAGTGTCACTAACAACCACGGAAACACATAGAGGATAGCAGCTCATCCTAAAGCTACTTCTATCCTGACCTGTTGCTGATGGCCCTTTCCTCAGGCACTACCACCATGTTAAGGAGCTGGAACATAGGCAAAATTAACAAAAACCAGAGGGACACTCAATTCAACTGTACCTGGTTGAAAGGAATTATCTTAGTGCTGTAGGGACTCAGATATAACTTCATTTCCTTTAACACTATTTTTTATAGCTAGATTACTGAGGTTCTGATGAGTAAGAAGTGCACTATAATTAATTACTTGGCTCTGTCCAGTTAGAAAAACTGACATTACCAGGCTTTATTTAAACTATGTGTTTGTGATTTATTTTCATTCATCTAATTAAGATCACAGAAGATGCTTTAAACACTTCCTGAAATTTATACACATTTGTGGGCATTGAGTCTTACAAGTAGTAAAATTTTCGTTAGCATTCAGGTAAGACCTATCATTAGTTGGTTGAGATGAAGACAAATTTATAGTTAATTTACATAAAGCCTAAATAGGATAATTCTGTAATTTTTACTTACCCTCCCTCAACGGAACAATTCTGGTAATGTATCTTCTGTTACTCTTATGCCAAAGGGAGTTAGATACTTATAAGTTGTTTCCTATGATGATTAAGAAATAGAGCTATAAAAACCTTCCATTTTGCACAACCCCTTGGAGTGCCCTTCTAGTTGCTAGATGGGATGCTGCCTGATTCACAAATTGCTTAATAAAGCCGATCAGAATTTCAAAAAGATAAGAAAGAAATGCAAGAAAAGAATGATTAAGTGGAAAAGTGGAAAGTTGGGATCCATTAAAATAATTTGTGTTTTTGGCAATAGCGAAAAAGGAAATTACAAAAAAGGGGGCACTATCATGGTAAAAGGCACTTTCCCATTTAATCTAGTTATAAAATACTAATTTTAAATTTTTTCCTAAAAGAGAAAGTAGAGTAAAAATATAATTTTATTAATAAGTGAGGCTAGAATGGCATGAAAATCTATGGGAATTAAAGAATTAGAGCCCTGGGACAATTCACAAATGACATTGTAGGTATTATTTTGATATTTACTACATTATGAACATTATCTCCAGAATTTAGCTCTAGTGATACAAATAAGCAGAGGAGAAAACCTTTTTATATATGTTATTAGATTTTCCTAAACCACTTACTAGGGTATATTCTCTGAGTTATTATTCTAATAAAGCTGCTGAACTATTCAGTGTCTCTCATTAAGCCCCTCCCCCTCCATATAACCAAGGCATGCAGCTACAACATGGTTGTCTTGGTTAAGGATGCAGCCTGTGGTCATGAAGCTGAGTAAAGCTTAGAGGTCTTATATAATTTTCAATCAATTTTTAAAAATCAACTAAGAAACAGATATGAGAACAGAAACTTTCACCAGAAAAATGAAAAATTTTCAAGTTACCCCTAGTGAATATTTTGAAACCATGCTGAATTTGAGACTTTGATTAAGTCTTTAATTTTGTTCTTTAATTACTGATGCATCTAAACAGATTTCACTTTTCCAAAACAAGAATCTATAATGGCTAAAATAGTCAAAAGAATTATTATCTTAGTTCTAGAGGAGGGAAAGAAGGAAGATACCTCATTAATACTGCGTCTATAATAAACAAAGCCCTCTAAAAACCTGTTCTAGGGAGACTGGTGAAAACAGATTTGCACTGGCTAAATAACATGACTCTTAATTACAAAGGTAACATGATAAAGCTCAGAAGCAAAATACGACTTCTAATGATCTTCTCCTATGTTGGTGTGGATATATAATGGAATGACAGTAAGAAATAAAACACACATAAACACACACACAGACACAGAGATAAGCTCCAAGCATTAACGTGAGTTGCTAAAAGCAAGAACAATTGAATGTAACAATTCAAAAGAATAACATGTGGTTTGTAACTTATTTTTAACCTTCTGCCATTAATAAATCCAATAAATTGTTTCCAAAGCCTTTGCTGGCTCACGAAGTCTCTTCTATATGTAGCTATAACTTGTAACAGTAATCTGGAAACTGCATTATTAGCACAAGTATCAACCACTGACCACTAAGCTAACTCTTCAATAAGAAGATAAATACTTTTGTAACCAAATTGTATATTCAGAATGTTGTACCTAACATTGACCTTTAGGGGTAAGGAACATTTAACAATGTTAAAAAAAATAACATCATTATTGAATAAGAATATGGTAGCATAGCGCAGCCCTTGTATAAATAACCACAAAATTTATCAAAATAAAAATTGGGTTTTTTGCCTCTGTCCAATCAAACCATTACAGTTCAGGTGTATGTTCTGTTCTAAATTTAGATAATATAAAACAGAAAATTGGTCCCTAGTGACTTGGCATTGGCAATCGGCATTGTACAACGATAAACCTCTTGCTAAACAACAGAACAGAAGTCAGCACACAGCCAGTCTTCTTGCCACCACTTAATCCACAGAGCAATGTTAACATTCTAATTAGAACTTGGTGAACAAACAGACTTCCCGAGTCTCCTGTATAATCTCTTGGAAAAAAATTCAGAAAACTCAGAAATAAATAGTATTTTATTTCTACTTATTTTTATACCTGCTGGGTAAGCTTTCTGACATTTGTCAACCCTCTGCAGCTGGAGTTTTACATTTTAAAACTGAAGCACTGGATTGTGTGGCTGGTCTTTCTCATAACCTGAACTATATTGGGTAATTTTTCTTGATACAGGTAGGGACAGAAGGGATATACTGAGGAAAATGATTTCAGTTCAGAGAATTTATAAAGTAGCTCTGGATATTACAAGATGGGGAAAATGTTATTAAAGTTACAAACATTTTTTAGTGTCTTCATAAATAAAAAGCATAGAACACAGAAAGCCAATTAATAATAATAACAATAACAATAAAATATTAAATATATAGTGAGCAAAGACTGAATGGCTCATTCTCATGAAACACCATTTGACACAACTGCCTAGATGGGTTTCCTTACTCTAACATTTTGCTGAGTGAAAGATCCAGCAAACACACAGTAAGCTGCCTTTAGCCCACTAAGAACATCAAGAACTGCCTGATGGAATGGCCACAGATGAACAGGTCATTTGTTTCAAAAGATACTTAAATACTCAATAAGGACATAAC